AAAAAGTATTCTTGTAGCTTCGTAAAATTATGGTTGAACCCCTGATGTCACATGGATTATTTTACTGATCTCCTTGCCACGTTTCTGGACCTTGATCGAGGTAATTACATTGCTGTCTATGGGAGGGTCAGAGAGCTCTCAGAATTCATCAAAAATATCTTAATTTGTGTTCCGAAGATGAAAGAAGGTCTTACAGGTTTAGAACGACATGAGGGTGAGTAATTAATGACAGAATTTTCATTTTTGGGGTGGAGTAACCCTATAAGAAAACAATGATGTTTTAATGACACAAAGACCACATATACTTCATCAGCGCTTAAATAAAACAATAAGACAGAACTTTTTTCATAAAAAGCTGAAATTTGCACTGAATTTAGTGGAAAAAACAGAGATGCACAATAAAAGACTGTACTCTGAACTCAAGATCACATGTGAAATGTTAAAAAATAAGTAACTTCAGTTTTTCCCACTAAAAACAAGTCTTTAAAACCCAATAACCCAAAGTCCACCTCCAATTGCATAAAAACAATGATGTGTGCCTACAATAGGCTATATTTCTCAGAAAACGGTAATCTGCATCTTTATCACTTACTACTGATAATTAACAGAATACTGTAACAGTTCACATTATTATTTATCCTGTTTAATACATCATTCAATAGAAATGTAATAAAATAAAACAATAAAGCATTTATTAATTTATTTTATTTATCACCATTAACTTTGAAGTTATGAAATATATTATATATGCATAATGTAATAGAAATATTCAAATAAACGTTAGAATTTAACTTTTCTTTACATTTACCCCTTTAAAACTAATAGTTATAGTAGTAGAAAAAGTATTTAGTAATATTAATCTGACATAATATTTGAGAAAGTGTGAACATAAGTTTCTCTTACTATTGTTTTTACAAGGCTGATGTGAACATTCAGCAGTAACCTTTTCAAATTAAATGATAAAAAACTAAATATAATACTGACAACGTAACATGCATATGTGGAGGGTTCATCTGTGATGTGATATTAAGATTACCAGGTGTGCAGGATGAGGAAATCTCCTCCCCCCCTCTCTGAATAGGCTCCTCCCCTTCCTCCTCTACTTGAGCATACACACCTAATTTCTGCATGTGAGCTTCAGCCATCTGCTGCACGGCTATAAACACACGACCACAAACACACACACAGAGGGATTCACAAATCAGGGATCATCAAACCACAAGGGACAAACACAGGAACATACACAAACACACACAGATAAAGAGGGATGGGTCTGTTTACTTTTTTAGCAAGACTTCTGCGCTGTGCCAACCAGAATGGGTTTTATTTCTGCTACAATGATGGGACATGTATGGACAGGGATAAACCACCTGTCTTTTTACAAATAGACGATTCACAAAACACACATTCAGAGACAATATCACAGTAATGCATAGCTATTTTCCCTTCTTTTAATTTCACGCATTACTAATAAAACAAATTTAATTCTGTTCATTTTTTTCTTTTGGTTTCTGCCATAGAATAAAAAAATAAATAAAAAATAAAGGTAATTTTGACTTTTTGTCCCCCAATTCAGACTTTTTTCTCACAATTGTCAAAAAAATGTCAGAATTCCAAAATAGAGACTCAGAATTATGAGATATAAAGTCAGAATTCTGAATTA